TCTGACTATGACCCCAATTCCATATCTCCTCCAACTTCTGATAACCTTTTGATTCTGGAACAAAAACAAAGTTGCTGGAAAAACTCAGCAGGTCCGGCAGCATCTTTGAAGAAAAAATCAAAGTTAACGAACTCTGATTTCTTCTTCACAGGTGCTGCCAGACCTGCTGAGCTTATCCAGCAACTTTGTTTTTGTTCCTGATTTACAGCATCCGCAGTTCTTTTAGTTTTTATTTAACCTTTTGACTCCCTTGTTTGTCAAGAATCTATACAGCTATACAACTTAGGCATATTCAATTACCCTGGTGGCAAATGGAGTTTAATGCGGAAAAGTGTGAGGTGATTCACTTTGGAAGGAGTAACAGGAATGCAGAGTACTGGGCTAATGGTAAGATTCTTGGTAGTGTGGATGCACAGAAAGATCTCGGTGTCCATGTGCATAGATCACTGAAAGTTGCCACCCAGGTTGATAACGTTGTTAAGACGGCATACAGTATGTTAGGTTTTATTGGTAGAGGGATTGAGTTTCGGAGCCATGAGGTCATGTTGCAGCTGTACAAAACTCTGGTGCGGCCACACTTGGAGTATTGCGTACAGTTCTGGTCACCGCATTGTAGGAAGGATTTGGAAGCATTGGAAAGGGTGCAGAGGAGATTTACCAGGATGTTGCCTGGTATGAAGGGAAGGTCTTATGAGGAAAGGCTGAGGGTCTTGAGGCTGTTTTCGTTAGAGAGAAGAAGGTTAAGAGGTGACTTGATAGAGACAGACAAGATGATCAGAGGATTAGATAGGGTGGACAGTGGGAGCCTTTTTCCTCGGATGGTGATGGCTAGCACGAGGGGACATAGCTTTAAATTGAGGGGTGATAGATATAGGACAGATGTCAGAGGTAGGTTCTTTACTCAGAGAGTAGTAAGGGCGTGGAATGCCTTGCCTGCAAAAATAGTTGACTCACCAACTTTAAGGGCATTTAAATGGTCATTGGATAAACATATGGATGATAATAGAATAGTGTAGGTTAGATGGGCTTCAGATTGGTTTCACAGGTCGGCGCAACATCGAGGGCCGAAGGGCCTGTACTGCGCTGTAACGTTCTATGTTCTATGTTCTATGTTCTACCCTGCCTCTACAACTCTGAAGAATTCGAAACACTTTCAATCCTCCAAGAGAAAAAGAATTCTTACTTCAGTCTTAAATGGGAAATTCCTTATATTTAGTGAAAATAAAATACTGCAGATGCTGGAGATCTGAAGTAAAAACAGAAAATACTGGAGAAACTCAGTAGATTGGGCAACATCTATGGAGGGAGAAACAAAGTTAATGTGTCCAATAAAGAAGTCATATTAGTCACAAAACATTAACTCGGTTTCTCTCTCCACTGATGCTGCCAGATAGGCTGAGTTTCTCCAGAACTTGGTTTTTATTCTTTACTTTTAAACTATTCCCCCTAGTTTTAAAATTTCTGACAACATCACACATCATCTCACCATTCACCTAGTCAAGTCTCCTTTAGATCTTTATGTTTCAAGAAGATCACCTCACATTTTTCTAAACTCTACTGGATACAGGCCCAGACTTTCCAAACATTCTTCATAAGATAAAGTACCACTGACATACCAAGTTATCAGCTGAGTGAACTTCCTTTGAATCGTTTCTAAGCATTTGCATTCTTTGTTAAATATAGAAACCAAAACTGTACTCCAAATGTGATCTTACCAAAATCCTGTCCAACTGTAGCAAAACATCCTTATCTTTTATATTCCATTGCTTTTGCTATAAGCTACAACACCTCATTTGCCTTCTTAATCATGTGCTGTACTTGCATGTTAACTTTGTGATTCACATACCAGCACACCAGAGTTCTGAAATCTGTCTCCATTTAAATAGTATGCTGCTTTTCTATTCTTCCCTACCACAGCAGTCAACTTCCCATTTACCCATATTATTCCTCACCTGCCTGATTTTTGACCAATCATGTAAGCTGTCTGTATAATGTTATGCCTTCCCAACTCCTCTGACAACTTACTTTCCTACGCACTTAGTATCATTAAAATTAGCAACCATATATTTGGTTCCTTCATCCAAATCATTAATATAAATTATAATTGGTACAAGCTCTAGCAATGATCATTCGCAACATCTTGTCGATCCAAAAATGAACCATTTATGTCCATTTCCTGTTAGACAACCAATTCTCTATTCATGCTAAGAACTTATTCCCTGTAGTGATATCATGTTAAGAATGAACATGCTATTGATTTTCAATCCTAGACCAGGCAGGTAGATTCTGATTGGTCATAGTATTATCATGGTGATGCAAAAGAACTGTGCCATGACACTATTTTTAAAATTGTGCAACATACATTCAAATTCTTTTTGGCTACATAAACCAGGGACCTATGTACTTCTATACGTGGCTTCTAGCACCTTGCATCTAGCTTCACACTGCTAGCCCGAATGATGATCTGAAATTGGTTTCAGGTGTAACAGTAACTTTAGTACAGTTCAGATTAGTTGATAAATGATTTTCAATAGTAGAACATATCTAATGGTGAATATACTGCTGAGGCTTGCCAATATGGGCTGGGCTGGTTGAGCACAATTGGCATGCTACCTGCTGTGTATGGTCAACCAACGTGTTATTTGATACAATCCACCAGCTGCTGGAACATATGGCCTACATGCCTGGCATTGCATTGAAACTCAAATCACATATCACTCATTCGTGTAATAATAAGGTGTAGAGCTGGATGAACACAGCAGGCCAAGCAGCATCAGAGGAGCAGGAAAGCTGACGTTTCGGGTCTAGACCCTTCTTCAGATTTCTGAAGAGGGGTCTAGACCCGAAACGTCAGCCTTCCTGCTCCTCTGATGCTGGTTGGCCTGCTGTGTTCATTCAGCTCTACACCTTGTTATCTCAGATTCTCCAGCATCGGCAGTTCCTACTATCTCTCTCACTCATTTGTGTGTTAGGCATGATGTCTTTTTGACATGTTGGCAACATCCTGTTGGTGGAGAAACCCACTATGGATTCACTGAATAGCAGTAGTGTGATACAGCTAGCTTCAACAGTTGTTCAAAGTTTTGAGACACCTACACTTTTGAGACACCTACCCCTTCCAGAGTGATCAGAGGTAAATTCTTTGGTCTGGGCAGTAGGGTCACAGCAGCGGAAGGCTTTGTAACTAAACGTTAGAAAAATGCATGTCTGGATGCACAGAAGAGCAGAAACAAAAAAACCAAAAGATGAAAGAAATTATCATCAGGCTAGAAGAGGTCAGGTGAGATAGTGAAGGGAGTTGACAAATAGACTTGTCAAATTCAAACTGAAGACAGAAAGCCAGTGTAGATCAACAATGACTGATGATAGCTAAGTCAAATATGGTGCAGGCAGTGTGAGTTTTGGACAGGTTAATGTTTATGGAGAATGGAGGATGTGAAGAATAACTTTGAAAATAAATTGAACTGGAATAAGGGAAATGTAGTTAAAGACTTCACTGGCAATAGTTCCAAAGAAACAAATATAGGAAACCATTCTGGAAAAGCAAGGAAACCACTTTAGTGATGGACAATTTATTGGGTTTGATGTTTTACTCTACACAATATAGGATACTGAGATTTTTGATAAGCTGAATCAAAGTGCTTGGAAAGGAGATAGAATCAGCAAAGAAGAAGAGTTTATTGTGGATGCCAAATAAACTGATTCCATCTTCCTGGTATTAGTTGAAAAGCACCCTTCATTCAACATAATATCAGTAGATGGCCTGACAGCATAGTGTTAGTCTTGAAATCGAGAAAACTGGTGAAAACAGAGCTGACTGTTATCAACATACATTTTGTTCCCTGACTGTGAAGTAACTGAGGAATAAAGGGCGATGGGATAATTGAAGGGATGCATTCACCTGGGTGACAACAGGAAAAAAATAGGAGGAGAAAAGATAGGAGGAGAATTAATACGTCATAGTATGATTGAAAGGCAGGCTAACAGAAGAAGAGGAGTTGGAAGACAAAACAGCAGAGCAAAAGAAGGTGAAAGCAAGGTAGTCAAACAGATAGAGAAACATAGCTTAGATTGCACAGACCACTGCAGAAAGCTAAGTATATTGGAGGATGCTGAAATGAAATGATATGTTCCAATAGCTGATAGAGTGATTTCAGGTAGAATCCTTGGGACAATAAGTAGCAATGGAGCAAGTCTATTTTGGAACTGAATTGGGTCCATGGTTCAGTGGGGAGGTGGGATGGTTGATCCAAGGCAGCAATGTGGAGGGAAACCAGTAAACAACAGAGTCCAGCCTGAAACCAATATAGTGGTGGAATTCAGTCCAAAACCCAGCAGAACGTAACCCAAGGAGGCCTATGTTTATTGCAACTTAAATGAGGTGGTGTAAAGAAGAAACAGAACAAGTATAGCTTTTGAGGAGAACAATAGCATTCCCTCTTCCGATAAGAATTTTAAACAAATCCTTACTATGCATCCCTCTCACTATTATCAGTTTGATAATTTTCAATCTAATGATAGTCTATGCTCTATAATGTCTTTCAGTAGGAAATATATTGAAGCAAGTACGTTAGCCAATATTCCCTCAGGGGCCGGAGGGAATATAATCCAATATCAGACCGCCATTTAAACTGGAGAGAGAAAAAAAAACTTTCCAAAGAGGGAAGAGTCGCCGGAGTTGTACGTTTCCCAGGATTCTGGACTGGCTCCTATGGTTACCCTGTTCACAGAGATTTCAAACTTGGCATTGCAATGGATAACAGCTGGGACCACGTTTGCCTGGGGCTGCCACAATGAAGCCGGCATTCCACCCTGGCAAGCTGTGCAGCTGAATCAGACGGAAGAAAAGTCGAACAATAAATTGCCGAGTTTCGCTAAGACCTCGGCTACAAGAAGTAGATCTTGAATCGAAGCTATCTGTCAGCACACTTTTACACAAACGTAATGCGACCACCTCTGAGCAGCTAATGGAAGGACTCTTAGCTAAAGTTCTAATTTACCTCTTGCGAAGTCCAAATTCCTGTTTAGAAGAAATCGACATCGATCCAACCCCTCAGAGCCAGGTTCTGCTGCTACAGCAAAGCACGTTCAACCATACAAGGGAGTTTCGACACGAACAGCAAAGCTCCCTTAAACTGTACGGATCTGCTTTTATGAGCCAAATTCAGCCGATATTGCTTTTCCGGAACTCCAAGTTTGTGATTTTGTCGCGACCGCTGTGTTTTGCCTTCGAGGAAAGAAGTTGAAAAGCTGGTGATGCAGCTATACGATGGGTATTGGTTCTTGTTTAGTCTCCTCCTCCACCCCATGGGGAGACAAGCTCTTGATCAGTCCTGGGCTGTAATTAACAAGCCCATTACCACATCATTTACTCCTTGTCCAGTTTCCCCAGGCAGACACCCGAGGGGGTGGAGAGAGAGGAGGTGGATGTGTGGAGAGGGGGTGTTAATTTGTGCCTGTCTGTGTGTTTGGAGGTGGGGAGAGATCGGACCAAGTCAAAATCAGACACCGTCTGTTCAGGTTTCACCGCGCATTGCTTTCTTGTTGGAAACCTAAATGCACTTTTTCAGTCTTTAATACCCCCCATGATAAAGTCCATCACAAAGTAGTCTTGCAAATCTTTTGTAACCGTGAATCTAATTCATTTCCATTGACTGGAATTGTTTCCAAATCCAACAGAACATTTGCTATTCAGATTTAAATAAAATTGTAAAACTAACATACGGTATAAGAATCCCTGACAGATATTTCTGTTTTTGTCTTTCATATACAGCACTGGCTGATCTCACCTTGAGTTGCACGGCATAAACAATAAAAGTGTTTTAACTTGAGACTTTGATGTTAAAAGACATTAACATATGATGGCGGATTAAGCCAAATTCTGTTTTCATTAAAGAGTACTGGGATGTCTTTTAACCAGTGACCTACAGAACATCATTCCATTATTCTCTACATATTTCTGCAAATTGTCGACCTTGGTTATCTATTGAGGAATTAAAACCTTGTCCCTAACATTCTCTTCTGACTTGTTTCAAAGCGTGTACAAACAATCTGAGCAAAGATAAACTTCGGATTTTGCAACTGAGAAAAAAAAATCTTGGGGTAGTAGGAACTGCAGATGCTGGAGAATCCGAGACAACAAGGTGCAGGGCTGGATGAACACAGCAGGCCAAGCAGCATCATAGGAGCAGAAACCCGTTTTTGCAATTTTCATTTTAGAATCACTGAATTTTACAGTATAGAAGGAGGCCATTCAACCCATCATGTCTGAACTGGCTCCCAAAAGAGCTACTCAGCTAGTCCTACTCTCCAGCCATATCTCCATAGCCCATATTTTACTATCCTTCCTCTCTCCTCTCTCCAGAACGTAAAGGAAGTGTAGGAGTTGGGAGACCATTTTTTGGGTGTGCAGGACATTGGTTTGGCCATTTTTGTAATACTATGTTCAGTTCTGGTCTCCCTGCTGCAGGAAAGATGTTGTGAAAGTTGAAAGGCTTTAGAAAAGATTTACAGAGATGTTGCCAAGATTGGAGAGTTTGAGCTATAGGAAGAGGCTGAATAGGCTGGGGCTATTTTCCCTGGAGTGTATGAGGCTGAGGGGTGACCTTATAGAAGCTTATAAAATCATGAGGGGCATGGATAGAGTGAATAGTCAAGGGGAGGGGAGTCCAAAATTAGAGGGCATAGGTTTAAGATGAAAGGGGAAAGATTTAAAAGGGACCTAAAGGGCAACTTTTTCATGGAGAAGGTGTGTGTATGGAATGAGCTGCCAGAGGAGGTGGTGGAGGCTGGTACAATGACAACATTTAAAAGGTATATGGATGGGTATATGGGCTCTGGTAACCTATTTCTGACTACACAATGTCTCTGGCACTGTAATTCCTAATCTTTCATGCGTCATTTAGGGGAAAGCAATGGCCAATTGGTACTAAACTATTAATCCAGGGACCCAAGTAATGTTCTGGGGAGCTGGGTTCGAATCTCACCACAGCAGATGGTGGAATTTCAAATCAGTAATAATCTGGATGTAAGAGTCTAATGATGACAATTGAATAATTGCCGATTGTCAGGAAGAGTCCATTAGGTTCACTAATGTCTTTTAGGGAAGAAAATCTGCCATCCTGACCTGGTCTGGCCTACACATGACTCCAGGCAACAGTAATGTGGTTGACTCTTAACTGCTGTCTGGGCAATTAGGAATGGGCAATAAATGCTAGCTGAGCTAGTGACACCCTCATTCCATGAATGAATTTTAAAAAACCTGACACCAGACTCCCATAATTCAACTAATCTACTGAAAAGTTATTTATGGAAGAAGACTCGCAAGGGTACCATGGAAACACTTTGGGGGTGTCCTCAAAACATTCCTGATGAGATTGTAGATCTCTACCAACTGTTGGGAATTGGCTTATCATTGACCAAAATGGAGAAGATCTATTTGGAAACACACCAAACACAGTGAGAAACTTCATCAGTATCACACAGAGGTGGTATCAAAGCATAAAAAAGAGGACACAAAGCTCCATCTCCTCATCTGCATGATGTTTCAAGTGCCACCTACACTGAAAGGTGCCAGAGTCTGCAGATCACCGATTGGACTGATCACTTATCTCAGAACCCATTGAACCCAAATGAGAGCAAGTCATCACTTTCTAAGGATTTACCTAAGCAGAAAATTGGAGGCTTAGTCATCCTTTTTTGAGGAAGTAACCAAAAAGATTGATGTGGGCAGAGCAGGCGTTGTTTAGTTGGACTTTGGTAAAGCCTGTGGCAAGGTTCTACATAGTAGACTAAGTAGTAAAGTTAAATCACATGGAATTTACAGTGAGCTTGCGAATTGGATACAAAATTGGCTTAACCGCAGGAGACAGAGAGTGATGGTAGAGGGTTGTTTTCGGACTGGAGGCCTGTGACCAGCAGTGTTCCATTGGGATCAGTGCTGGGTTCACTTTTGTTTGGCATTTATATAAATAATTTAGATGAAAATAAAGAAGGCATGGTTAGTAAGTTTGTAGATGACACCAAAATTGGTGGTATATTGGACAGTGAAGAAAATTATTTAAGATTAAAAGCGATCTTAATTGATTGGGGTCGATGGGTTGAGGAGTGGCAGATGGAGTTTAATTTGGACAAATGCAAGTTATTGCATTTTGGTAAAACAAACAAGGGCAGGATTTATACAATTAAAAGTAGGGCCTTGAGTAGTGTTGTAGAACAGAGAGACCTTGGGGTTCAGGTACATAATTCTTTGAAATTTGCATCATATGCAGACAGGGTGGTTAAGAAGGCATTTAGCACACTTGCCTTCATTGCTCAGACCTTTCAGTATAGGAGCTGGAAAGTCATGATGATGCTGTACAGGACGTGGTGAGGCCTCTTCTGGAGTACTCTGTCCAGTTCTGGTTGCCCTGCTATAGGAAGGTTATTATTAAGCTGGAGAGGGTTCAGAAAAGATTTACCAGGGTGTTGCTCGAATGGAAAGTTTGAGTTATAGGGAGAGGCTGGATAGGCTGGGACTTTTTTCACTGGGGCATAGGAGGTTGAAGGATGACTTCATAAAGGTTTTTAAAATCATTACGTGTATAGATAAGTTGAATGGCAGGTGTCTTTTTCCTATGGTGGGGGATTTCAATACTGGGGACATAATTTTAAGGTGACAGGAGAAAGATTTAAAAGGACATGAGGGGCACCTTTTTTTACACAGAGAGTGGTTCATTTGTGGAATGAACTTCCAGAGGGTGTGGTGGATGCTGGTAGAGTTACAACATTTAAAAAACATTTGGATAAGTACATGAATTAGAAATGTTTGGAGGGGCATGGGCCAAGCTCAGGCAGGTAGGACTTTAGTTTGGAATTATGATCAGCATGAACTGGTTGGACCAAAGGGTCTGTTTCCATGCTGTATGACTTAATGACTCTGACTTTATCTGGTTAATAACTTAAAAATGGACATGGCATCATTGATTTTCTGGGCTACTATTTCATTTTTCACAAGTGATTTTTTTCCTGTGAAATTAGACTCTGCCAGTCAGGTCAGCTATTCTATTCCAATTATGGTCATATTGTTAGTGAATTTCAGCACTGTCAGACCAATCCTTTCTTAAACTCGGGTTCATCAAACATGTCTTACTCATTTGTCAAATAAATGACTGCCATTACATTGCTTAATGCTCCTGTCACGGCTAATCTCAATGTGGTTCCTGCCTGACACCAGTGCTTCACTCTGGGGTTCTTTGTTTCAAGCTCCAACTTGTGAATCCTGATGTTGTGATTGATCATGAATTCCTGTCTGTTTACAGGAATTCCTCTTCCCTCCAAAAAGTATCAGTATCAGGAAAGGGCTGCAGCTGGGCAGAGTTTTGATTAGATAACCAAGGAGAAAAGGTTTGTGTGATGTGGAGACAGCAGTTTGAAGAAACGTATTTCCCTTAAATGTGGGGCATTTGGAGGGGGAAGAACATCTATTATCTGGGAGGCAAAGTGTTTCTACGTGACCCCAGCAAGTTGGTGGAGAGAGAAGTGCATCTAAGAAAGAAAGGGTGATATCTGTAGTTTTTAAGTAATTATGCCAGAGTTAGTTTGTTACAGAAGGACAAACTGAAATGTTACTTAATTTTTGATATTTAAAAACCTACTAACTGTAAAGTAAGAATTTTCAAAGTTAAGATTAAATTATTTGTAGTGAGAATATTCAAAATTTACAAAATAGGAAGCCCTTAGACCTGAATGAAGTGTGCCAATATATTTGGGGGATGGACCCTGTATCTGTAATTGCATATAGTTCTAAATGTTCTGCCTACAACCTAGATACATGAGTACCAGGTTTAATGCTTGGTCTGTGCTGTGGATCACAGCCAGGCCAGCAGTAGAGGTTCTGAACTTAGCCTGGAATAGTTCCAGACGAGGTAGATGGAAAGCTACTCCAATATCACTTGTAGTTCTGATAAAGAATCTCGTAGCAAATTCTGTGGCAGAGTGAAATTATAACCTGTTTCCAATAAGCAACTTCACATAATTGTACAGTGTTAAGCTGTTATCCAACTGTAAGCCCAGCATTTTAACAGACACTTTTAATTACCATGTTTTGGAGACCCAGCATCAAAGCAAAAGGAATTATTCAATCAACATTGACTGAAAGCAATGATCCACAACACCACCCAAAACATATGTCATTGTTAGAGAACTGAACCAGCAAAGATAATGAAATAAAGTAATTTCTTCCTTTTCAATTCTAATTTC